CTCCAAAGAAGCAACAGGTGTCGAATTTCTAGTGGAAGAAGCCTTGCTAGTTGATTTTGAAGGTGCTGTTTCTGATGCAGCGTTGGGTTGATGTTGTTGATTGCTTTGCACATCCTCTTCGTTGCGCGGTGATGGTGCATTGGACTGGTCCCCAGCCGTCGAAGACGGAGCCTCGCCTTCGCCGTTCTTCGTGTCTGCCATGTCGAATTCTAAAGGGAAGGCAGAATCAATAGAAGGGCCAGGCCAAAGAACGTCGAAGAACCCTTCCAAGGCAGGCGCGGGCTGTCGCCAGGGTTGTCGCTAAGAAGAAGCCCGTCAAGTGCGGATATCAACGCAGCATGAGAAGGCCCATCAGCGCATACACGCGATTTTGGGATCAGCAAGTCAAAGTCAGATATTTGTGAGTTTTTGGGCCGTTGGCTTGATGGAGCCGATGGCGAAACCGGTGATTGTTTCGCCGTCAGGCGAGATAAAGCGTGGTGTGGGGAAGAATTAGTGAAGAAGGGAGCAGTGGTTGAAGGAATCGAAGATGGCGGACTCGCTGTAGTATGGGTCTAACGGTGCCAAGCTAGGCCCAAGGCTACGTCCGTGGGACCTAGTTCTTTCTTACGCATATCTCATCTTTCTCATCGGTGCTGCTAACAACAGCACCCTGACGACCAGGCCCGCATCCACCCACGCCGTATGGATGCGCCGTTCCGTCACGGATGGGGGCGCTGATGGATCTCTCGTCACGATGTGTTCTTTTGATGGTTTTTGCACGTTCATGTTCACACGCTTCGTCCATGAACGATCTCCACCACCCCTGTCCAACATACACCGGCAACGCGCCCATCATGCGGCGACTATCTCTGTTATTCGCAGTTGCTCCGCCTGTCTCAGCCATGCCGACGGTAATAGACCACTGGCGTGCGAGTATCGGCAGAGTTGCTACTCAATCTCATCAAATTGAAGCACCACAATCATAACATATCAACGGAAGCGTGCGCCCCATCAGACGACAGGGCCTGTTTATCTGGTATCAAGTGCTGCGATGATGGTGTGGGCGCGGCGAGGAAGTCTCGAGGAGGCGATGTATGGTGCAAGTGGTTCGTTGTCTAACTCGATTTAGCGCCGACAAGGGTCGACTTCCTTCGTTAGACCTCGCTGCTCGTTTGGCAGACCCGTGGATGGATGGGCTTGATGCCGAATCTTCCACAGCACACATTGCGTCACACAAGTTAGCAAAGTCTGAACAGGCACCTCTTGCCCGCGCACCTGTCCGGAGACGCAGAGCGCCTTGTTCCTTTATTGTTATTCCTTTCCGCGGCCCTGCCTCCACTAGGCCCGTTCGCGTCTGACTCTCTTACACATCCACCTGTTTCCGGCCACATCAGCCTGGTCTCAGACGGCCCGATCACCTCTATCGTCGACCCCCGCCTGGTGGTGAAGGTCAAATAACGCCCATGGTTGTGTCGCACATCTGCCTGCAATTGCAGTGATGCAGCCGTTCGGTTCGCGGGATTACCCAGCGGCATTACTAGGTCCGCAGACAGGGGCGCTAGCAGACGCATTCAATCATCTCGTGTCCTGCCCCCCTTCGAAACACCCAGCCGCACCTAGCCAACCCTCATCGGCCGCATATTGCCCGCTTCTCATTCGCCGTATCTGGCCTTCGCTAACGTGATCGCTGGCGCACATCAGCTTGCGCATCATTGCAGCGACGTTGGGGACCATGCAAACTCTTTCAGCGAGCCTTCCATCAAGACTGTCCTCATTTAACAATGCGGCACGACAGCTATCTAGTGGTTGCTGATGTTGATATGCCCTTCAACCCGTGTTGACTATTGCAGCGAAGCTACACCTCAGTGGCCTACTGAAAGGATCGGTTCTGTGCGGAACGCAGCCTATGTTCCTTCGCTGGGCATTCCCGAAGCTGGAAGCATTTGGAATGTACTGCCAATTCAGAAGCCGGCCAAGCGACCGAAACTCAGCTTGCGATCTTTTACCATGTACCATGCTACTGTGCCAAGAAGATCCCAAAAAGATTATGGGAACTTATTGTCGAAATGCGCCTTGCAGGTCAATCGATGCTAGCAGCACCAGAAGATGCGATGGCTAACTACGATTCCGACATGGCTCTCCAACCATGAGCAGATCGTTGCTTCAAAGATTGTTTGCTTAGATCTTAGGAGTTGCGACACTGCCTGGCCCATCCGTGTGCCTGTTTACCAACAAATTTACAGTAGTAATGAAGATTCTTCTTCATTGTTGGTGATGCTTGCACGTCGCTGCAGGCCTCTATCATTGAAGTACTTTATAGGTTCTAAACCTCCACCTTTATCGTACCTAAATTCATGACTGCTCATATCTGCTTTATAACACACCAGTCCCTGATGCACATCATCCTCAGCCACATGGGCTCTGCTTCACGATGTGTCCCTGCCACTCTTCTTCAACTGCGCATGCCCGGAGAGAGAACAAGGCCGCTCGGGAGATTACTCAAGCCCATGAGACCCTCTGGCTCAACTTCGCGACTGGGTTTTCTATTGGCTTTGGCTTGTTTGGAACAGGCGTCATTTAGTTCCCTGACTCACACAACCGCTCACCAACAACACCGCGCAACCTATCGCACTACACTGCTATCGAAAGCATTGCGTTCTCAGAAAAACTCATGATATATAAGTCAGCTGTGGTTTATAGGGAGAGCAAACCAATGCTATCTTCTCAGACAATAACGTTGCATACATATACATCGCAAAGTGAATCGCATAAACATGTGATGCGATTCTATCATCCAGAAGGGATAGAACAGTGCCATTTAGTAAAAACAGTCAATGCAATTTGAAATGTCTACATGCGCCCGTACTTGCAGCAGGCAAAGGGACAGTCGGGTGGGACGTCTGCTGCGATTACCCGGTTCTTAAAAGACAACTGACGCCCAACAGGAAACGGACAGCAACACGCTGGCAATACAATACTACTCGAAATATTGTCGCAAACACCCGCAAACTCACCGGGATATCATACTGCCACAACAGAGTATAGCGAGGTGAATACCGGCGATACCTTCCCGAACCTTCCATCTAGATTCAGTGAATTTGAGAGCAACAGGCGCTTGCATATTAACCAAAAGGATTTAACCAATGCCGCTACCCAGCTACTGTCCTGCGCATCAACGACGCGTGTGACCCCTATTCTCCTTTATCACTCGAGCAGAATTGTCAATAACTACAATCAAACTTTCGGTCCGAGGTCGAATATATCACCTGCACAGCCGTATCTGCGCCATGCTACCAGCCGCGGCGTCTTCGACTTTGGGAGGCGTTGGGCTTTATTCGTGTTGTCCATAATTGCCTAGAAGGGGCTAGTTCCCTCTAGTACTGCCATTTGGACAAGATGAATTCGAACGTCATTCTTTTCTGTTTCGACCGAACAGATTCCCATGATGAGTGACCCCGATTTCTTCATGGTGTGCGGGCACTTGTCATGGTCTGGGCGGGGCCTTGATGACATCTACCTAGGTAGATGCCGAGGTCATGCCGCTGACCTGCATGAGGTGCACGAGCCAGCGCCATCATTAGCTCATCAGCTGCGCTAGCATTCCCAGTGCTGATCCCCCTCCTCAACGACTTCAATTCACAGCATATAGCTCACACAGATCTGGGTACACTTGTTCGGCGACAAGCAACATATGCTGCTTGAAACAGCAGTGCAATTGTGAGGTTTTCATCTGATCAAATTGAAACTTTAGCACCAAGAACATTCTTCCAACATGGGCCAGTATCGAATGCACGATATATTCAACACGGCGACCATCATATAACAAAGACTCTCGCATCAGCCACTATTTCAATGACTCTCCCAAGCTCTCCAGCCATCAGGACCATAAAGTACAGCCCAGATCAAATTTACTAGATTTACAAGGCGAAAATAGCCAAAAGACCAGCAAGACCAGCACCAGCGAGACGAGCTGAAGCCTTGTCAGCAGCACCAGTCGCAGCGGGTTCAGCTGCAGAGCCAGACTCGGATCCAGAAGCAGAGGCAGATCCTCCTAGATTTGCGTTAGTACAAACATGACCAACATATAATGCTAATAGTAAACGTACCTGAGGTAGCAGTAGGGTTGGCGGAACCAGTAGCTGAAGCAGCGGCACTTGCAGCGCTACCAGCAGAGCCGGAAGCAACAGCGTTCGCAGCACCGCCAGCGCCGAAAGCGGTCTGGCTGCTAGGGAAAAGGCTGTTGATGCAGCCGTCTGCGCACTTGGCGTAGGCGATGGAGTCCTCATCAGAGCCATCACCCTGATCGCACTTGGCGACACATTCGTTGGTATCGATAACCTGGGAGGCGTTGGGTCGTGCGTTGCCCAGGCATGCGGCCTTGCAGGTCACATCGCTGTCGTCGCACGACATGGCGCAGCTGATGGCGGGAGAAAGACCACTCGGGATGGCGGCAGGGGTCTTAGGGGCGGAGGTAACAGACGCATCTTGAGGAATAGCGAATGCGCCAATGGCAAAGAGGAGAACGGCAGAGTACTTCATCTTGATGTCGGTTTGCGTTTTGATATTACGGGACTATTGGAAGTAGTGATTCGGCGTTGCGTAGATTAATACGGATATACTGAAGGCAGGGCAAGTGAGTGTGGGAAGTACGAGTACTTGAAGACTGAATCAGAACAAAGAATGAACGTTGGCGCACACACAAAGAAAGAATCTGGGGGAGACCATCTCGTTTTTATTACCCTGACACCGTGCTAGTCATTACATAGGGGTTTGGCGAGTAGCGGCTCGTTGCGCTTATATTGGGTTTCGACTAAGCTTTGTGTGGTAAGCTCGTCGGGCCGGCAGCGTCGTTTCAATGCATGTCGGCTTGAACCTTACGAGTGGGAGCCTGGGCTGCAGGGATCCACCTGCCCCATCTATCCACGCGATCGGGCAAAACGCGCTAGAATACGACGCGTCGTGACATTTACCTCACCACGCCACCATTGGAAGTATTGCCGCCTCTCAACCACAACGCAATGGATGACAATGACGAGTACGGCGACGAGTTCGACGACACCGAGTTTCTCGATGCCGCAACACAAGCTGAAAAAGAGAACACGCCTGCATTCCTGCCTTCTCCAAGGCCAGCCAAGCGACGCAGGATCAGCAAAGTAAATGAGCGTACAGAGTCCGTTCCGCGCAAGACACGCCATGGACGTCGCCGAGGTCCTTTTGTTTCGTCTGACGAAGATGAAGACGCTTTTGATGAATCCGATCGGACGTTGTCAGATACAGGCAGCAAAAGTGTCTCATCCCCAGAGAGCGCACCTGCAAGTCGTAAGAAGAGGGCTCAGTCGAACAATTACGATGATGAAGATGCGTCGCCTATCAAAGAGTCCGCTGCAGATAAGCGGAAAGAGTGCATCCATGTGTCGACCACCAATGTGGAAATGCCAGACATGTTTCTAACACAACCACCTCAGACATATTCCCCACCGTGGAAGCCGAGAGGAGCGATTTGGGCAAAGCCTACTACCACAATCGGTGTGCATAAGCCATCTGAATCTAAGAAGTCGGCTGGGTCGAACACCACGAGCAATATCTCTTTACCGGGTAGACAGTCAACATCGTCTCGTCCTGCGCCACACGCGCCCTCGTCTCCTATCCTTCCAGACTCGCCCATTGAGATCGATGAATCCCCCAAACTACCGGTTCGCACTGCAATTGCGACTGCATCAGGTGACTACGACTATGCCCAAGACCTCGCAGATCTCCCGTCCGATGCTTTTGCCTCGTCCTCTTCGTCGCCACAAAAACAGGGAGATGTGGAGGTAACCAGTGCTCGAAAGCGTGTCGTTGCACCTCTGACCGGCCTACGACAGACTACTTTATTTGGTCGTGCTGGTATCGATGGCACAATACCTGCTACTCAAGTAAACAAGCGTTACAACTTTGTTGTCGATCAGAAGGCCGAGCCACCCACTCACCACAAGCTAGATCCAGAAGCGATCAAGACTTGGGTCTATCCAACAAATCTTGGAACTATCCGAGACTATCAGTTCAACATCGTTCAAAGAGGTCTTTTCAATAATCTGCTTGTGGCTCTTCCAACTGGTCTTGGTAAAACATTCATTGCAGCCACCATCATACTCAACTGGTTTCGATGGACCACCGACGCACAGATTGTATTCGTTGCCCCAACGAAGCCGCTCGTTGCACAGCAAGTGGAGGCTTGCTTCAACATTGCAGGCATACCACGCTCATACACCACAATGCTTACTGGAGGCGTGTCGACAGGACTACGAGCGGAGGAGTGGAAGGATAAAAGAGTCTTTTTCATGACGCCTCAAACACTTTTGAACGACTTGAAGTCTGGGTATGCAGATCCCAAGAGGATAGTATTGTTAGTCGTTGATGAGGCCCACCGAGCGACCGGCGCTTACGCATACGTGGAAGTTGTTAGCTTCCTTCGCCGATTCAATTCGAGTTTCCGGGTATTAGCACTAACAGCCACACCTGGTGCTGATGTAGAGGCCGTCCAGAAGGTCATCGATGGCCTCGATATTTCCAAGGTTGAGATTCGAACGGAGAATTCTATGGATATATGCAGTTATGTGCATCAACGCAAGATCGACAAGCAAGTTTTCCAGAATACAGATGAGATGGAGATGTGCATGGACTTGTACAGCGAAGCACTGCAGCCCTTAGTAAACACTATCGCAGGACTCAACGCTTACTGGAGCAAGAACCCCCGCGATCTGACGCCTTTTGGCTGTCAGCAAGCCAAGAAGAAGTGGTTTCTAGAAGTCGGCCGCAATGCCAACCGCGGCCTTCAGAGTACAGTTCACACTATCTTCGCTATCCTGGCATCAATCTCACACGGAATGGATTTGCTGAAATACCACGGTATGGGTCCTTTCTATATCAAAATGAAGGAATTTCAGGACGAAGCTGCTAAAACGAAGTCCAAGTATAAGAAGCAGGTCCTTGACAGTGACGCTTGGAAGAAGCTGATGGTGCGTCTCCAAGGGTGGATCACGGATGATAATTTTGTTGGGCATCCGAAGCTAGAGTACCTGCAGCAAGTCATTCTGGATCACTTTGTGAATGCAGGTGATGGCAGCAACGTTGATGGTGCGCCTTCATCACAAACGAGAATCATGGTATTCGCCCACTTTCGTGATAGCGCCGAAGAGATCGCACGCATCCTTAAGAGACATCATCCGATGATCCGCCCACGCATCTTTGTTGGACAAGCACACGGGAAGAACTCGGAAGGCATGTCGCAAAAAGACCAGCTGGAGGCTATCGAGAAGTTCAAGAACGGTGAATTCAATACGTTGATTGCGACATCAATTGGTGAAGAAGGACTGGATATTGGTGAGGTTGATCTCATTATCTGTTACGATTCGAAAGCATCGCCAATTCGCATGCTGCAGCGTATGGGTCGTACAGGTCGAAAACGTCAGGGACGAATTGTGATGCTCCAGATGCAAGGCAAAGAAGAGAACGATGCAAACAAGGCAAATGATAGCTACCTCAAGATGCAGGAACTCATCGCGGATGGAGGGCACTTCAATTTCCATGACGACGTCTCTCGCAGAATCTTACCACCAGATGTCAAGCCGGTTGTTGAGCGGCGCGTGGTGGATATCCCAACCGAAAATACTCAGAAAGACTGGCTACCGGAACCGAAGAAGGGAAGGCGGACCAAGAAGCCTCCCAAGAAGTTCCATATGCCCGACGATGTGATTACCGGCTTCGTTACTGCAGGCCGTATGGGTGAAGAAATCGTGCCCAAAGCCCGAGGGAAGAAAGCTGCAGCACCCGTTTATCCAAGCGAGACAGCATTCGAGATGCCATCACTGGATTCGGTGCTACTAGACGATGTAGCGGCTCAAGACCTCGAGAGACGGTACCAGACTGTTTTTGACGACGATGACGCCCCTATGGTGGGCGTGCTAGACCTGAGTAAATTTCCCGAGCGGCAGCGCGTCCTGCCTTACAAGAATGGACGAATCGGACCAGGTCGCGTGACACGGGCTTTTGCCAGTACTATGCAGCGCATGCACGATATGGAAACTGACCGCCTGGAAAAGTTCCAGCGGGACCTGCACTATTCGGATTGCGAATCAGATGCGGATGACGGTCTCGTCGTGTCGAATACTGAAGTAGCGTCCGTGATTCCGGAAGACATTCAGGAGGACATGTGGGAAGACGATCAACCTGCATCACAAGGCCTTCCGACTACCAAAGCAAAAGCAAAGCCTGGCCCGAAGCCCAAAGCAAAGGCACCGGCGAAACTGAAGGAGAAAGCACCGCCAAAAGAGAAGACGCCGCCGAAACCAAAAGAAAAGTCAGCACCAAAACCCAAAGAGAAGCCGGCTCCGAAGACCCCTAAGACTCCAGCACCTCGTGCTCGAACCCGAAAAGAGAAACCGGCTGCAGAGACGCCAATCCCATACCCCGAAACAGCGGATGAAACACCAAGAACAAAGACGCCCAACTGGCGCGTGTCTAATCTTGCTCAGGAAGGCGACGAATCATCCCCGCCACCGACAGATCCCCGTTTCCACCTCCCATCCCAAGCTGACACAATCGGATCTGACGACACGATGGGGGCGGACGAACCGGAGGATCCACTGGCCTGGCAGAACGTGTCGGAACTGGCTAGTTTCATCGTCGAAGAAGATGAAGAAGAGGTGGTTCCAACCTCTAGTCTACCTAGTATTGACATGTTTGGCGTTGGGGCGGGAACTCAAGCAGTCGTCAAAGCTGCCAGACCGAAGAGGACACCCAGGCGTGAAAAGCTGTTTACCAGCGACATCACTGATGACGACGCAATTGTCAGTAGTGACAGTGATGATGACGCACCGGTCATCAGACGTGGTGCTGGCGCGAGTAAGAAGGAAGCAGTCGTTGTCGATTCTAATTCCGAGGCGGAAGAAGACGAGCCTATTGTTCCCAGGAAGAGAGGCAGGCGAATCATTGTCGATGACTCAGATGAGTGAAGCATTATGTTCAGTAACCCTTTCCGGAACTTTGGGCGAAGAGACGAACGCATCTTACGACTATATGTATGTAGATAATGTGGCGAGCTTGAGATACCACGCATGTTGCTGTAAACTTAATGCATCGAGCACGCGTCTAATCAAACTGTTTCCAATACTCGGGCTCAAAGCCATCCATCTGTTGTGTGTAAGGCTCTCCAGCTTTGACCCAGCCCTTGATGCCGCCACCAAGTGTCAATGATGTAATCTGATCATCGCCCTGGTCCGCAATGTAGTCTGCAAACCAGCCAGAACATCTCGGACCCCTTCCATTTGATGCGCCTATCATGTGTCAATATCGTGGTAAAGCCACATGGTTCGTGTTTGGACCGGTCACGGTACCTTGTGGTACGCATCTCACGCCACCAGCGCACGAGTATACCCGCCATGCTGCGTTCAAGACTGGCATGGTAATGGGATGACAGACTTACCACAATAAAATGCGACTTGCTTGACGCCCGCTCTCTTACACAGGTCGTACAACGCGCCGCGATTCATGTAGAAGGAGTGTGCAGGAAGATTCAGACTACCTCGAATGGTTCCACCTTCATAGTCGGTGCGTCGGACATCTACGATGAGCAAGTCTGGAGACGAGAGATTCGACAGGGCCTCCTCGCGGGCGAGGATCGGGGCGATGCACCGTGGGGCAGGAAAGGCGTCGGACCAGCTGCCAGTTGCTTTGGACGATTCTGCCATGTCAATGAACTAGCGGCCGTTATCAGGGGCTATTCTTAGGATGCGCGGTGCGACTGCTCGTATGTTTTACCACGCGCAAGTGGATTTGCAGAGCCGCACGAAAGAGTGGTCCGTTGAGCCTCCCGCTAGCGCGACATCTCAGGGTCCATTGGCATGTCACCGCCACAATTATCAGTACTGGCCACATTGCTGCAAGTCTGTGGCCCCATGAACGTCTGATTACATTTTCTCGGCATGCCACGGGAGCAATCTAATACATCACACCCGCTCCTTCTACGTTTTGTCTCTTTCGGTCTCTGTTGATTTGTAACAGGCATTGTCCTTCATTTACCTTAATTTGTCTCGAGTCGGAACTTCCTACTCCAACTAGCACTATCACGGCCACGACCAGGATTCCGGACTTGCGCCGAGACAGTTTCGATACCTACACGCTGGCCTCTTTGCCTACCCCACACGTACTCTCGGCGTTTAATTTACCGGAACGATTCATATAGCCAGGCTACGAGTAATTGTATGTCCCCGAACTTGTTGCTCGCTTTGGAAACACTTTGTCGCGGACGTTTGCTGACGGGAAGACTCAAGTAGCCAGATAATACCATCATCACAATGCGCTCAGCCGCGCACGTGTTCTACCTAGCAGTCTTCTCGCTGCTAGGTAGCTCACACGCTGCAAGCCATGCTACCAAATCGAGTAGTCCTCCGCCAAACGTCTGCGATGTAAGCAACAAGTCGTCTGCTCCACCAGCGCAGCCTGGGGACGCGAATACTAAGACCCTTTTCCAGATATCGCCTGGAGCGATAGTATCCGACGCGTGCGCAAGCTACAACACCCTCGAACAGCTCAACGAAGCCATCCACCCTTACCTCGAATCCATCACGCAGAATACCGACTTCTTTTCGCATTACCGATTAAGCCTGTACAGTAAGAAATGTCCTTTCTGGGACGACGAGAATGGCATGTGCGGGAACGTGGCGTGTGCGGTGAACACACTGGACAACGAAGAGGACATACCACTGGTCTGGCGCGCGAAGGAACTAGGCAAACTCGAGGGACCTACAGCACAGCATCCTGGCAAGAAGCAGCAAAGGGAAGAGAGGAAACGACCGCTCCACGGCAGTCTGGGTGACAATGTTGACGAGAGCTGTGTGGTGGAATACGATGACGAATGCGACGAGCGCGACTACTGCGTACCGGAGGACGAATCGGCGTCGGCAAAGGGAGACTACGTGTCACTTGTCGACAACCCAGAACGCTTCACCGGATACGCTGGCGTTGGGGCTCAGCAGGTCTGGGAGGCTATATACCGGGAGAACTGCTTCAGCAAGCCCCCAAAGAATGCGCCCGCGACTGGTAGTTCTTCAACGTCTGGAGGATCACCTTTTGGCGGTTTCGGAAACCAGCAACAACTACATGCTGCGAATCAGCTCAAGAACGTCATGCAGGAGCAGGGCAAGAAGCAGAAGGTTCAGTCTGCCATTGCTCACGGCTCTCCTGTAGACAGCCTCGATCCTGTCGAATTTGACGACACCTGTCTGGAGAAGCGCGTCTTCCATCGTGTCATCTCCGGCATGCACGCCTCTATTTCCACGCATCTCTGCTACGACTACCTCAACCAGACAACAGGAGAGTGGGGACCTAACCTAGCCTGCTACGAGGAACGCCTACATAACCACCCCGAGCGCATCAGCAATGTCTACTTCAACTACGCCCTCGTCATGCGAGCTGTTGGCAAAATCACGCGACACATCTCCGATTACTCCTTCTGCTCCGAAGACCCCGAACAAGACCACAGCACTAGAAACTCCCTCCTGCGCCTCACGTCTGCTCTTCCCTCCGGTCCCGAGATCTTCGATGAAACCGTCATGTTCAAGGACCCGGACACAATGGTGTTGAAGGAAGATTTCCGGAACCGCTTCAGGAATGTCAGTCGCATCATGGATTGTGTAGGATGCGACAAGTGTCGACTCTGGGGTAAGTTGCAAACAAATGGCTACGGAACTGCACTCAAGGTGCTCTTCGAATTTGACGAGAACGACTCCTCAAGAGACCCGCCGCTCCGCCGTACTGAACTTGTCGCGCTCATCAACACCTTGAACCGTCTCTCCCACTCACTGTCCGCGATCAAGGACTTCCGTCGCATGCTCGATGAGCGAGAGGGCTTGCCAAAAGATGTCGCCTCTACACTCCCAGAGACTGACAAGGGAGTGTTGAAGACAATACTAGCGCTCGGGGACTCTGACGTCGAAGGGCCGATTGATGTCCTGACTGGCGGGGAAGACGTGCCAAACTTCAAGAGGGACTGGGACGCGAGAGAAATGACAATGTGGGAGGAGGTCAAAGCCGAGTACAATTTGGTCAAGAGGACGTTCTTTTACGTTCTGTACCAGTGGTCGCAGCTTCCTGGGCGATTGTAAGTCTTAAAATCCTTCTCACTGGACATCTTAAACAACACGGGCGTTGCAGTAGGACATTGGCTAATGGCACAAACAGTACCAAGATCTTCATCCTCGAAATGAGGAGAGTGTACAACTGGTGGATGGGTTTCGTGCCTGGGCCGAGAAGTTGGGAGATCCGTATCCCAAGGCGAGATGAGCTATAAAGCAATTTCCAAATCGATGAACAGAGACGAACACAGGATCCAGATCGTATACCTTTTTGATGCATAGCATGGGCGTTTGGGGGGATAACTGTATTGGTGTATATCAGGGCATTAGATGGCGTTGCTTTTGAACATGGGAAAAGCGAGACATGTCATCAGGAATGCATTCGTTTCATCCCAACACAATTTCCTTCGTGTATCTCAATACCTTGAGCAATGCGATCGTCTACAACGCTTCCGAGGCCCCCAGTGCCGAGGCACCTGTTCGTGTTCGTTCCGCGCGCCATGATATATCCCCAACCTCGCGATCTGTACCTCTCGAGTCTCAACTACGTCATCACACATCCACGGACCTTCTTGGCCTTCTCGGCCGACCTTCGTCATTTCACTCCCTGCTTCATAATCACGACGCATTACCATCCGCGGCCTTCCGAGAGGAAAATAAGCTATGCTAAGCATTGAGGAGAAGCTATATGCCTGTTTTCGATGATTACCCAGAGGGGAAAGCGGAGAAGGGGAGATGGGAGGGGAGAAGGAACATTAAGCTATACCAAGATATACGCCTATTTCCTATGGTTGCCAGATTCGATGTGCATCTGCTGTTTCCGTCATGCTTACTGGTGTCCACTACGCCCTGGTATGACGATGGCTCTAATCACTCTTTTGCCGGATTTACACTACCAAGCTTTCAGTTAAGCTACACGCCTATCTTCCACAACTGCCTATAGAGGTAACCTGAGAAGAGGGGGGACGTGAGGGGCCTGTGAGGGGTTTGCAGTCTTCGGTCATTTGTTTGTCTCTTAGGGCCCCAAAAACCACTGGTGAGGGAAGGCTACCCGAACATGGCATGAGCCAAGGTGAGGAGAAGATAACGCCTATTTTCTACACTGTTGATAGAGTTACTCAACACGGTAGTCGAATACGAAACGTTGCGTGATGTAAGTTACGAAATTGCGGAATTGCGGCTCCGTTGTTGCTTCTTTTTCGTCGTACCTACGGTTTCTGTACGTTTCGTCGATGTTGACCGCGGAAGGATGGGGGTTATCGCCTTCGGCTTACCGCTTGCGGATATCACGATCGCGACCGTGGAACGTGTAGAAGTTTCAAGACGGGCTATAACACTATCTCCAATACTGACTCTCCTGAGTATTCGACGGAGTTTGATTCAAGCTCAATCGATGGAATGTCAGCTTGCTTCGCGACACAGGTAGAGGCTATGTTGAGAGACACTAATGTAAAAAAAACCCATAAACGTGTTCAGCGTGAGAGGTGAAGTTATGCGTATTTGGTCTTGATTCCCATTGTCTGTCTCTTGTAATGCATCGACTCGGCATTCTTCAATTATAGAGATGCAAGCGTGCATGGACATGGTGATCTCTACGATCTCCCAGAAAGTAGTATGTACTACCAAAATTGTCAACCGACCGCCTCGTTCGCAACTCGCTCTAACCTTACTAGACGAGTATTTCTTTTCGAAATGCTGTAGTATGCAGTAGATTTCGACAGATTTGCAAGATAAAGCGAAGGAATACGCCTATTTTCAACAGTTGCCCTTCTGGGTATGTAAACCAGATGTTTAGCTATGGGAGGACGCGCTTGTAAAGCGCTGATTGCTTTTCTCCACGTCTAGCAGACCGTACCAAGATCTAAGCAGATGCAAGATGAAGCGAAGGAATACGCCTGTTTTCTATAACTGCCTGTCTGGGTAGGCCAAGTGACACACCGATGTTTGTAATTGCTTTTTAGGGGTTGAAAATTGGAACGCTTGCGGAGGCGTGTTTAGCAGCTCGAAGGAACGCGATGCAGGGTGCCGATGGCGATCAATTTGTTGCGCCGATGGAGGATACAACCTCAAAATCTTTGCGAGGCTGGAGCTTGCTTCGAGGACGATGAGACGCATATGTATTGAGAGCTCAACAGAAGTTTTATGTATCGCGTTTCTGAACTCGACAGACTCCATCATCGTGCTTGGATGCGACTTCCTAATACATAAATATTTGAACAACCACATACGCACAAGAACACTACTCGTACGACCAGCACAAAAGAAACCAGCGCACGTGACGTTGTGTCTGGAAAATGAGGCTCTTATACGCCTACTATCTACACCTGCCCAACACCGTAAACCCGTCTACTTTCCAAGAGAACGACCAAGCTACACCAAGTCTGACAAGCCCTACGCCTACTTTCCATGCCTACCTCTTTCAGTAATTTGATCGTTTGAGGGGAAAAGTCGACGTGTCGTTTTCGCGTCATCGAGGACAGAATTTTTGCTTATTCCCGCGTAACCTTCCCAATGTACGTACGTGTCGGTGAGCAAGCGACAAGCAATTTTCTCTCTCTCATTCTCGGCTGGCATTACCAAGCCTTAGCATCTACAATCAACAGAATTCTGTAATGGGTAACTTCGAAGCGGCCAAGCTTTGAGCCTACAATCGACGGTTACTGTTTAAAGGAATATCGGCGAGGACGAGTCTGTTTCACCGTTGTTGCCGGATTGAGCGCGTTGATCAATGCCGCAAGTTTGGCTGGGCAACGATGGGAAGAGTGTTATTTCCGACGTATTGCCGAAGCATGTGGATGCGGCTTGGGAAGGTTTTAATATAACCGTTTGGCGCCTGCTTTCGATGGCTACTATATGCGGTAGGTAAGAAGGGTTGAATACGAGATAGAGAGGCAATATGTGGAGGAGAACGTGGTGTTGGATTGGTGGATATAGTCCACTAGTCCTAGGTCGTTCTCAAAATTGCCAGCACAAGACATGCAGTCTGCAAAGATGTACAAGAAGCTGTTGGTGATATGTATGGCTATGCTGGAGTACTACCACGGTTGACACAAGACAACAACAACAACAACAACCAAAAGCTTACATCTGGATCTGCTCACAAGTAGATGTAGCACAAGGGACTGCCCCCTAAGGTATTGAACATATCCCGAATCTTCAGTGTCTCGCCATTGACCCCCATATTCAACGGCTCGTCGATAGTAGCGTCGCGCGTTGGGGGCTTGTTCTGCAACGTCAGAGTACCAGTCACTTTATTCGCCTCTGCTGGGTGGAGCGTCTGCCAGATCCAGTAGATGCGGTCAAGCATAGCGTGATGGAGGAAAAATGCAGGATCATTGACGGAAGAGTAGAGATCTGTCGCGTCACCGCCCATGGTGTAGTGACCTGATGTGTGAAGACCGAGGAAGCCATCTGGGTATCGTCCTTGGATTTCGACCCAGAAATCGCGGTGGGTTCGCGAGCCCGCGCCAATGGTTACGTTCAGAAGATTTGCAGTAGTGAACCATTTCTTGGGTATATAAGGACTGATGTCTCGGCGCAGACAGCGGGGATTGTAATCATTAATATCGACTCCCAGATCAGTGAAGCCTTGCATACCAGGCGAGATTGGGCCAATGTTCGCTTGCGTACTAAAATTCTGTTAGTTCCCTGGGACCGTAAATGTGTGCAATAATCTCACTTCTTGAAAGGGCCGCTCTCAATGCATCCACCTCCCTTTCCAGAGGGGATAACAATTGTCCGAGCACCTGCTAAACTTCCGTTGTGTGCGAAGTATGCTCCGTCGCCACCCAAGCTGGTATCACTCCCGTCAAAGACAGGTGATTTGTAGATGTTATCGGTATTTGCGAACCAGTTCCAGTACTAGCAAAGTCAGATATGTTAGAGACTGTTGAGTCTTTGGAAACTCACAGGTTGGTATCCCTTGTAGCCACATTCATTTCGGAGAGCTTGCTCGTATGCCCACACAAAGTAGCGATGCCAGGTAAGAAAGAGACCATTGCCATGTATGTACATAGTCTGGTTGACATGGATAGCGACAAAGTCATCAAAGCGTGTCTTGGCTGCTGCAGCCCATGACTTGTCAGACTTAGCCGGCAATGTTCGGAGACATTGAACAGCTTTGATATATGCTCTCCGATCAGGCTTGCTCATATAATCCCTTACAAGTCAGTAAGTACATCCACATAAGTGTGGTGAGCTTACCAGTCCCTCCGGATGGCAGTGTTTGCCAAGGAACAGCCTTTCGGAGCCCTCTTTGACACGGCATCACTGTGTTCAAGCGTATCGTACGTATGCTGTTGCAGTTGAGCGAGAGCCTCGAGTGGGTCGACTGCTGGGTCTATATCGATGACCGGAGTCGAGTCGAGGGGAACAGCAGCCACGAGATGTCCAGCCAGTAGCTGCACGATAGCTATAGCTTGAAAGAGGCGCATATCGACGAGTTAGCACTTGCTGTGTGCAAGATCTGGCAGCGTAAGGTGAGATCTGGTGATCCAAGTCGCCGGTTATATTCATCGCGAAGTCATCCCTGAATCATACAAGGGCCTTACCGCAAGCGTGCTTCCGATTTCCAAGAACTGTTAACGGAGAAAACGGTTCTTAGGCGAGTGCAGATTGCTGGGTTAGATGAACGCGGGCTAGAGTATGGGGGCGCCTAATCAAAGCTTGCATCCTTCATCCTTTAGTTCGAGATTATCCTGCACTGGAGCCTCGGGTGTTATAACTTATACGGAAGGCGTCTTGCAGGCGAGCCGAAGCCTCGTCCAGTTGTACGGGTCATCTTTGTACTCGGAGTCCCGATTGAACGGGCCGTCAGCACTCTATCGCGTAGCCAGTGTATTGTCATGAACACGTTCGCGCTTCCAAAAGCATCCTGTGTAGGAACACTGGAACTACATGCTCTCGAGGCATGATTTCAGTATTTGTTGATGTTGTTCGGCTAATGTGGCGACTGGCAGCCGCGATCAGGGCCTGTTTCGGCAGTGATAATCTTACGCGAAGCGAAGAATGTGCAACGAAATTATTTGTCGACCCTCATAAATCGGTAAGTGAGGTGACATTGATGGGGGTCGCCAAGATGTAGGATTCACAGGATTGTGTTGGATTTAAACGTGCACCCATGGCCAGTCGGACGTCTTCCCGCATCGTGCAGTTGTATCCGGATGTAGCATAAGATCGCCAAAGGATCCGGCTGCTGCTTCTCCCCCTTGTAGTGGACGAGGGACGGGACGGACACGGGAAGAACCTGGCTTCATGTTGAATAATAGCATCCAGAAAAGATGGGTACATACCTAGGTACTGAACAAAAACTTCGAAGCTGGTGAACCTTTTTAAGGGTTACGGTGCATAGATGTGTGCTGCTTGAATACTTGAGATATTTTCAGGAATACAATAGAAGTCTGGCTCTTTCATTGGAAATATAATATAGCTGTATCGGCTCATGGATTAAACTGAAATTTGCCACTTGGAGAGACCAATCCATAATGGAGTGACGGATTTCCGGGACTTGTTGCGTTCCACCGTCCCGAGGCCTGGTTAGCCCAGACCCACCCTTCCTGTAACTTCACATCCAGGAGCTAGCCCGTTCCCGTCCGTCATCGAAGCGAGCTTAGCCATCGATACTTGTTGAGACGACTCATGGTTCCGGAGACCCTCATCCACTCGTCGACCTATTACGCTGGGCCGACCCTTCCCTAGTACCTCCTGGTTGGCCTGATGAGCTAGTCTGTAAATGTGATCTCTGCCGATGCTTACTGTATGCAGACGGAGGTGCAGGTCGCATGTATCCCATCCGTTGTGAACAACCCAACTCATTTTAAAAAAGCAAAGCCTTTGAATGGTCTTCCAAGAAATCTCCGCACAGTGGATGCCCCGTCTCGTGGTGGACAGGTCAAAGGACCAATGAACGAACTCCTACACAACCTTCTAGAACACTGCTACCGTGCTTCACACTTGATGGAATAGATTCCTTGTCATGCTGGGCGTGAGGAACAGGAAGGCAACATGTATCATAACGCATCCTTCTATTGGAAACTGTACATATGATATTGTCGTTTGTTCGCCTTAGATTGACTTTACAAAACTCTTTTTTCTTTTGTAACCATGGCGCCACAGAACACTGACCCAGCGAGAGCCGCAGAAAGCAACTTGGGCTACCTCCTCGGCGTCACAGCAACCTTCCATGCTGTAGCCCTGGTCTTCGTTGCAATGCGGCTGTACGCACGTGTCATCATCGTGAAGGCATTTGGCAAAGATGATGCCCTTATAATAGCGTCAACGGTGAGACGATATGACCGATCATGCTCGACTGCTTTCCTGACTATGTTCGATAGATCTGTGTCTTTCTCGGCGGTATGGTGACCTACATCTTGGCCGCCCAACACGGCCTGGGACGCCATACCGATACTCTTGAGAAGGAAGACCATCATGAGTACCTGAAGTTGACCTTCATACAAGCGATAGTATCTACCATTGGTGGAATGGCTTTCCTCAAACTCTCTGTCGGGTTCTCACTCCTTCGTCTCAAAGTTCCCACCTTGTACACCAGAATGCTCTGGTCGCTTATCGGTAAGTCTCCTCACCTACAATAACCCCAGAACAATCTAAGAGAGCAAATACTGAGCTTCGAAGCCTTCGTTTGTCTTTATACAGTGGTCTCGTGGGGAGAGTGGGCTGCTGTTTGCAAGCCCATAGCCGGGTTTTGGAACAAAGACCTCAAGCCAACATGCTTGGCCGTGAACATCCACAAAGGCTTCGCGCTAATGAACACAAGTAAGCATGTGTTTACCCCTCAAAAATCTGTTTTCGATGACTGACTAGGCCATGTGAAGCGTGCAATATCTTAACTGATATCTGTTTCGCATCTATTCCCGTGCCCATCATATTAGGGTTACAGATGAAACAAAGGACTCGCATCTACCTTATCCTCGTTCTAAGCTTGGGCTACATGTAAGAATCCGCAATCTCGACGCTAATGACTTTCGAGGTCCATGTGTAAGAGCTGACCGTAGTTAAGAGCAGTAATCATGGGTATCATTAAGACGGTCGTCCAAAACACAAAGAGGGGCGATCCTGATCAGTCATTGTTCGTTTTAACTTCTACGTTTGCGTCAGTATTATGTTCACTAAGACTCGGGCAGCACGAACGATATACAGTTTTGGGGTTTCCTCCAGGTAAATATCGGTATCATAGCCGCATGTGCGCCTTCACTCAAGCCCATCGTCGGTGGCATCCTCCATCTCCCGTCAACGCAGCAGTCCAAAACTCGAAGCAATTTTGCTACGGGCTCGAACAGCCATCCCAACAAATCCAGAATACAGAGCCGGATACGGATTCAGAGCAAGGGATGGATACGGACAGATAGCGAGATCGAGCTCGATGGAGCAGAGTCTTTCGGCAGCGAGACACATATAACGAGCAATAAGGATGATCGCTCTGGTAGCCACTGAGATGATAACGTCCCAGTAAGGAACCATGAGGCCAAAGAGGCGGTGTTTCTTGCAGTCAATACAACAAGCTAACGCTAATAATTAACAAAAACGCTGAATTTTCAGGAGTTATGTAGGAAATCGAGCTGCTTCGTAGTCGGCGAACAGCGGGTGCGTGCCACTGAACGTGAAAATAGAAAACCTCGGGCCGGAGCTCAATCTCAATCTCGATGACGTTGTTTGATAGTTATGTGAGAAGACATGTTCGATGTAAGAAGATTACCCAGGTTTGCGATTTCGATACAAATGTCTTGCTTGGATTCCCCGAGGCAGGAGCGACCTCGTTAGGGGTTTGCAAAGTTGAGGGTTGGGAAAACGCCCGCGTCGAGCGAGACAGCTGTCACACAGCGTGATGTGACTTCTGAGTTGCATGCACAACCTACAAACAGCCGTGCGATGCCAGCTATGTGATTTGCGAATACCGAGCAATCTGGTAGTGGATATCGAGGATATCGCCGATGTAACGCTGGGAAGAGTGATACCTAGGTAGCCTCGGGAACATGCGGGCACCAGCGGGATCTCACCCGCCCGTCGCTTCCCCACCCATGCTCTCTCTACACGACTTCACTCCGTCACCTCAAGGCATCACGTACCTTAGTTCAAGGGGACAGCGATACCGCTACATTTGTGTTGGCGATGGTAGACTCATTATCATGGCGCGCTCCGGGTCCTAATGGCAGCGTTTGGGCTATATTATGCCGTCTATATACGCGGAGGCGTCACCACAAAAAGCATGCAGAGGGGAGTAAGAAGCAAGGAGGTTCAGTTTGTACTGTCTGGATTGTTCAAATATGGCCGAACTGCCCCGTTCGTGTTCTGTCGACAGCGTGCAGCCAACATATGAAGACTTCCACCGAGCTTATAGCCATGACTGACAAGATGTCCATACTCTATTTGCCAGGATTGTAGCTTGAGCCACCCCTACCATCGTTGTAGTAAGTCGAGCCCTAAGATTATGTCAACAAAAGTTTGTTTGTCTGGCATAATTTCGACATACGTTAGGGTTGCTGTAGTAGTACGAGCCGTTGGTGTTGGAGTAGTGGTAAGAGTTGGAGTTTGAGGCGCCAGAGCCGTAGTCGCGAGAGCAGTAGTGGTTTCCCTATAAATGATCTTAAGCATACATGTAGGAGGGTGGCGAAAGCATGAGAGTCTACCTGGTCGTTGGTACCGGAGCTGGTGATAGTATAGCCTCCACTGCCGCCGTTGCCCGCTGAAGTCGAGCCGGAGCTTGAAGAGTTGGAAGTGTTCTGGGAAGACATGATTATCCTCTAAGTGTTGTCTACTGTTGATGCTTTCAGGTTCAAGTAATGGCCGAGCTCGATTCTGGTCGTGCAGGAAGAAGAACAGAAAGAGGGTCTTTCGGTAACTCTGGCTGACGCGGGGTCGACCCTCTAGGTAGCAACTACCAGAGGTGGTCGGCACTTTCCCTGTTCTAATCTCATGAGCTTCGCCACACGGAACGCGCTACCACCGGTACCAACGGTCGAATCCTATCGCGTCATCACGAGTTGCCAGGGGAAACCTGTTATTATCACAGTCTCAGAGTGATGATATGGCAATCAGACTGCGCGGCTAACATTACAGTGCACGTCTAGTTGACATATGGTACCAGGAGTCATTCTAACTCGGAACGAAGCAGAAGATTCCAGTTGGGATATCATGTTAATGACCACTATGACTGATTCGTTGAGATCGGCTCGAAAGTTGATAACGGTTTGATCATTCAGCTCTCAATCACTCTTCTTTATATCCCATACGCTTTGTATTCCTTCGACACCAACACTGATCCCGTGTAATCTACATGCGGGGAAGAGGGGAAGACACTGCTGCTGTTTTATCCGTGGTTGAGCAAACGAGAGTACAGGTGTCTAAGACAAGGTACGAAGCAGACGCCAAAAGGTGTTTGTCAGTGCACCCCACCCACCTCTTAACGCTGTTGTGATGGCGACATCTGTAATGAATCTCCAATTCGAGAAAGCTCCACCAGCTCGACAGCTGCCTCATGTTGTTCTCTTTTCCTCTTGATCCTGTACCACACACCAAACACAACGAACCCTACAACGATCGATAAGCCCACTGCGGAGATGACGATGAAGGTGACGATGGCGGCGGTTGTGGATGAATGTTGTTCGGTGAGCTGCGTTGGGTTGGGGGCGAAGACACTCATCGTTGTCTGTTGATAATTGTTCAGAAAGTGACGTAGCGCTGGTATTGACGCCTTGGTCGTTTTGGTTCAAAGCAGCCACAGTAAGTTATTGAGACACCTGTTCGTTTGATATCTGAAGCTTATGCCGTAAGTTGTATGTCGAGACTGTTGGTGCAGGCGGTATCGTGTCCCTCCAGATGAGCGAAGGACCGTCGAGGATGGCAATGCCACGGTTTCGCAGGTCTCTCCACCGCACCTTGCTGTGCAAATTTGCCCAACGAATAAGGGCAACCGCGATGAAGATCTGAAAGAGAATGATGCTGATGACACCAATTATGACCCAGAGGAGTGGCCAGTCAATACCGCGGTGCGCAGCTGCTGCGTGAGTGGATGTTGTGAGCGCCGGCATTGTTAAGAATGTGTTGCAGTGAGACCGATCGTGTGATTGTGAGGACTGAAAAGAGGGGATGCGAGGTTATCGGTGATGTGAGGAAATTCTGCGCATGTAAGAAATGTGATCGAGTGAAGGTGAGTGGGCTGAAACGACGAGATTATGAATCTCTTGTCATTCGTCGAAGTGACCTGACACAGATGTATCGATGCGCCAGGTACAGGAGCATTGAATTTGTTTACGGGGCGACATCATGCCCACCATTTTCTCCAAATTCGTTTGCTCGTCGCGACGTCAGCTGCAAACGAGTCTGTCGTGCGTTTGCTCTCCTTCCCCTAATCACACCGCCTCTGTGTCTGCAATGATGACTTATCATAATCATCTTGTTACAGTCCCTCAGTACGATACACGAAGAAAGAGCGGCAGACAAGATGTTTGCCGCAATGATCATAGCCACAGCAGTACTCTGTTCTGAATAAGCGTAGGAGTGGCCGCAAGTACTTGTGCCGAACGTGCCGAATGTTACACTGGAAATGAGAATCTTGGGCGCCGGAATGCAAGACCACCGAGCAAATACATCGAAGTCCTGCATGTGGTTGCTGGACCGATTGATATTCCCTTGCCATAGGACTGCCCAACCTCTAGCGTAACTTGGTATACGTGACTCTTTGCAATGCATACAGAACCCTTTCCGACTTTGGTGGCACTTTGCATTGGCACCATCACATCTTCTCCTTCTCCCTCACAGGACTCAATATCGGACGAAACGCCTTGATCTGCTACAAAGTTCGTCAGTATCTTCTATCACAAGCTCAGACTAGTATTCGAATACACCAAAACATACCTTACCAACCCAACTCCCCTCACCACGCTCCAACCTGTCTACACTTCTCCAATCCATCGCCTTTTCTCGAGTTCTCGTATCCTTCCTTGCGAATCCTCTCCAACATGCGATCTTTCCCAGGATAGCGAAGACCGCATACAAGGCTAGAACGGCGACCATATAGTTTACGACAAGAAGAAGTACGTAGCTAACACCGAATAAGTTGTCGCGTGTACAAAAGCCAGGACCTAGGTTCCAGGAGCGGATTGCAGGGTCGATCAGCTGAGCTATGTTCATTGGACATCTGTGGAGTGTTGGGTAGTCGGGGAAAGGTATTGAAGGCGACATTGTCTAGTTGGTGGCTCTAGAAACTGACCGACAAGATGTTGGAAACAACGGTTTATGTTGTTGCTGTGAGGTAGAGAGTGAGTTTGATTTGATTGTTCAGGACTCTGTTTGACATGACCGCGGCTATGTTGGCCGGTGCGGTAATTTGAGTTCTTGAGTTGGTGTTACGCTGCAGCCACCGGGTTGTTTACTGTGCCACTTCCCTGCCTTGCTCATTATAAGGTTTGTGTGGCGCTACTCTATCTGTTGTGTTGCGAAACGCGTGTCTTTGTTTCACATAGATGACGTATGCTTTGCGCATCGACATTTAGACGGAACGTAAATGCTAAAGTGCTGGTATGGAACGAATCGTTTGAGAGGGCTTGGAATCCATGGGGAAAACATCGGTGCAGTTTTGTTAGCAAGAGTGCTCGACATGCAGTTTACTCATTCAGTCTTTCCACCTCCCACTCCACCCGTCCCTTGTCGCCATCCCTTCCCTATCCTCATCCCCGCCATCTACATATCCAAAATATTTCCTTGGCCATATGTTCAGCCCAATCTTCTCTCCTTCGTTCACCGGGAGTCCGGCATGCACTACCCTCCGATCGCCCTTTCCGTCTTTATCCAGATTAACCCAAAATACCGCGTTCCCCCGCATCGGTTTGAATTTGATGCCCTTGGCTTCTCCATTCATTTCACCTTGCGCTATCCTGTCATTGTATGTACCATCCAGGATGTTGGGCAACGAAGTTTCGACAAGAGGAAAGTATGTATAACCCTCTGTGCAATTGTCGCGTAGGAAAACGAAAAATGAAGCGATGCGATTGAAATATACCTGCTTGCCATCTTCGAGACTAGTGATCTGGTGTTCAGGCCAGAAGTCTGTATGTAGGTCGTACTTTTGGCTAGGGAAGTAGCGTACGAGTTGCGGAATACTGAAGGGTTCCGAGGGAAGGAGCATAGAGCCCATGAACTTTCTTGCGCGGCTCAGAAGACACAAGACTAGTGGATCATCCATAGGGAGGGGCGCAGACTGAGAGGTGCGGCCTGTGACGCGTTGGGTACTGCCTCGTGAACGACTGATAAAGGATTCAGCGAATTCGGGGGAGCTGGAGAAGTATTAGCTGCAGTCGTGAGTGAACTCCAGCTTGTGACAGCGAGGCAAGGATACCCACCCAAGTTTGATGAGCTCTTCTGCTTCCTGCGCAGACGTGAAGTTGTTGATGTATATCAGCAGAGGATCGAGAGATATGATCTCGGTCGTGTATTGGTGGCCTTCGCACGCTTTCAGTAGATCCCTTGGGCTCAGAGTTCCGTCCAAAATGACTGCTGGCGTAGCCTCCCATAATCTAGCAGGGAGATACACATCAAGTCGCCTGGGCAGGTATGAATGCAGTACAAGGAGGAACGGCTGCTGAAAACCCAAGTACAAAGCGAAAACGGCTAAAAGAGGGGTGGAGAACAAGATTAAAGCATTTGTGGCATAATTGCCACCCTTCAAGTTCATGTCAGCTAGATTTGGGTACGAAGCATGAGTGTGTCTTACAAGCCTTGACTTGTTTTCCATCAACGACGGCATTGCGTTATCTTTGAGTCTCTTTGCTTCTCGATTGCGTCGCGCCATATTGTGGTTGTGGGATGAGCTGTTTTAATCGTAATGTCTGTTTTCATTAGTTCGACAGAGATGTAGTGAATGGTTGCGTACATACTATGTGTAGATGAGCTACGTTGGACTGGAGAATTGGGGTAATATCCGGCTAGACGACCCCAGACCAGGGTGTATGTGTATCGGCACGCATACAGTGCTTGCTGGATCTCGAACAAGAAGCAAAGTCTACATAACATCCACATTTCTTAAGAGATTACGTTTAGGCATGAACAAATGTATTGGAGATGCGCAATGTGCGGTTGCGATCGCTAACGTGCGAATGGTGCAACTGCCTTACGCCGTTTGTGAAAACCATGCATGTTTCCCTAACACTCCATAATGCCATGCTGAGATGAGAGTGAGTATTTCATGACACGACTCCTTGAGGACCAGTCTTTTTCGCCATCGTGCGCTACGTCACTAGAAGAAGACATCCCGCAACGCCTTCTCACAGCCGTGGTCAGAAAGGAACATGGCTTGATCAAAGAAAAGTAACAGTGGCCCAAACCGAGAGGAAACCTAGACGACATCGTCCACAATCTCGTCCTTAGGCTCGGCAGGGTCGATCTTCATCGGCGAACCGTCAGGGTTGAGGTCCTCGTCAGACTCCTCCTTAATAGCTATGGTGTGTTAGCTTTGCACTACATCTGTTCTTACCCGGAGGTGGACTTACTATCGACACTCAAGTTCTTCTTGCCGCGGGTGGCCTTCTTCTTAGGCGAAGACTCGCCGTCGATATCCTGCTTCTTGGGGGCGCGCTTGCGGGAGGTCTTCTTAGGAGTTGCAGCGTCTGCGCCCTCTTCGCCGTCATCCTCCTGCTTGACAGCAGTAGCCTTCTTGCGAGGGGTTTTCTTTGGGGTGACTGGGGCGGTGCCATCGGCAGTGGGGGTCATCAACTTGAGCTTGATCTTGGCCCAGGCGTTGCTAGCAGAGCGCGGGTTGCTCATTCCAGCATAGCCAGCGAGCTTCTCGTAGTCAATCTACGATGACTGTGAGTATTGCACTAGAAGAGAAGACAGACTAGACACATACCTCTGGAGGACCAGACTTGAGAGACTGCATAGCCCATCCGAGGAGCTGTAGCTCGCGCTCGGTGAACTGGGGAGAAGAGCCATTGGCGGCGGCGTTGTCGTTGTCAGACATTCTCAACCGTTGGTTTCTGTTTGGCTGCTGGTCGAAATATTTCGTTGTCACAGATGGATGATAGAAGATAAAAAAGAGGCGTAAAGGTAGACTATGTTCTCGAGAGAAGCTCACTAGCGCGACGATGAAGATGGCGGCCAGGTGAAGGTGAGAGATTATCGAAGATGGCCGCACACAGATACAGAATGCAGCCTCACCTACGTTTCCATGATGAGATTTCTGAAACGAGCACATCCTATTGGTCACGCACCAGCAAACGCGTACATGTGCGTGATGTCGAGGCGAGGCGAGGGTGAATTGCGATGGTCTCACATCAGGCTTGGGCAGGGGGCAATATCACTGGGGACGATGCCGTACTAGCCGTAGGAGGTTCATCCTCTGGCATGTTTGATGATCAGAGTTCGTGGAGGTGAGCCCAGCTTGGTGTGCTTGGATGTGAGAGATACCCTTTGATGTGGTGATAGTTACAGGGAAGCAACTAGGCTGCTCTGCTCTTTCTCGATGGAGACAGCCGCGATTGCTGGGTGAAGGAGAAAGCAGCAAGCCGCCACTACCACAAACCTGTTAACAACATTCTTTATAAGACAAAAGCCGGCGACGACCAAAAAGAGAGTAGCAGTGAGGTTGAGTGGAGTGACGCGCTACCAAGATGGGCCGCCGGGTGAGCTACTATACGCATGACTCGTGGGACCCGGACGCAGTGCCAACACCCGAATCGCCGACAGAGGAGCCGCTGGAGATTGAGGGGCCAGGCCTGGGAGCTAAACGATACTCGAGCAACCCGACCCTGATCACGCCCGACCGCTACCTTCCCAAGACACGGATCAGAATCATGGCGGACCCTATCGACAGTGCCCTGTGGGTCGCATTGCACCCCGCATTCCCCATGTTTGTAGCTAACAGCTCGTCCTAGCGATCTCCTGCGCCGACTGAACCCAAAGGACGTCAAGCGCAATGTCGACCACATTATCCAGCTCAACCCCTCGCTCGAAGAAGACCTGCTCGAATCCGTCGACATTCCGCTTACCGTGAAGAAGTGCTCCAAGACGAAGCGCGACTTCCTGTGCTGCGACTACAACCGCGACGGCGACAGCTGGAGGAGTCCATGGAGCAATGAGTTCGAGCCGCCCATTGAGGAAGGTGTCACGCCTAGTGATCGTGTCCGTAAGATGGAGATCAAGGCGAACGAGGCCTTTGACGTGTACAGGGAGCTGTGAGTCTATGCAGAGTAAAGGCGTGGCCGGCGGAGCATGGCTGATACCGACAGGTACTTTGAGGGCGGCATATCGAGTGTCTACCTGTGGGACATGGATGATGGCTTCGCAGGATGTGTTCTGTTGAAGAAGGGTATGCAATCTTTCCCGTGTGTCACCGTCACATGCTAATGCAGGCAGCCGTCAACCCTACCCCCAAGAGCTCTGGCAGCTGGGACAGCATCCACGTATTCGACGCCCAAGACCGCGCACGCACCTCCCACTACAAGCTCACTTCTACTGTCATCCTCTCCCTCGGTACCGACAGCGAAACACTCGGCGGTCTTGACCTATCCGGTAATATGGTGCGCCAAGTCGAAGCCGACATGGCCGTTGAGGATGACACCTCGCACGTCGCCAACATTGGCAAGATGGTCGAGGATATGGAGCTCAAGATGCGCAATCTGCTGCAGGAGGTGTACTTTGGAAAGGCCAAGGACGTTGTCGGAGATCTGAGGAGCATCCCATCGCTCAGCCAGACGAACCGCGACCGCGCGACACAGAGGGAGATGATCAACAGCATGGGTCGGTAGGATGAGCATGGTTGCACATGGAGATGAACAGTGTGGCATAGATAATATCGAATCAATCCTAGCTCCAGCGGTATACCCACGAGGACTGGACTATCTCATTCTTCAAATGAGCATCAACTCTCTTCTCTGGCAGAGGCGATATACGGTCTAGTGGAGCTACGCACGCCCCTACACCCAAGCTGTGATTGCACCTTCCCCAGGCCAATGCATGGCACTGCGTCACGCTCGATCCTCCAAGTACCGTCTTTTCATAGAAACATGACGACAGTCCCTACATCGATGTGTGCACTACTTTCCTCGAGCGCGGCGCCGCCAGGTGACCAAGTTGCGTAAGCGAAGACAAGACAGCCAGGATACCGCTTAACGATCACACCGCAGGACGACTTCCACCTTTCTTCCGTCCTTTTTAATGACTTCTGCTCCAAGATTCTCAATGGCCGCAGTAAGCTTTGTATCCCTGGGATTGGGCCTGCTCCAGAGAACTAGTTCAACACACTCCAAGCCTTGTAGTAACTCACAGGCCTCCACCAATTCGTCTAACTCGTAGACGTTCTCCAAATTACGGTCGAAGAGTAAGTTACCACGCCTTTCAGCACACCAAGCATAGCTTGCCTGGAAAGATATTTCCCTCACATGCGCCCTGATGTGCCCTATTTAAATTGTAGGTGAGTGAGTGCATAGGCAAGATCGTATAGGTAATCTCAAGGTCACCTGAGCCAAAGCTTTATAAAGCGCACTCGCGTTTTCCGTTTGCAATGAAACATATACCGCGTACGTCATTGCTTTCCGCAGACTACGATCCCTTTGACTGAAGCGCTCGAATTACACCGGCCATATCAACTCGACCTCCCTGTTGATCGACTCACCAAGCAACCCATTGAGATGGCGCCGACGACACGCTCCCAATCTGCCAAGGTGAGGAAGCCAGCCTCGAATATACTTCAACCCTCAAAGGTCAACAAACGCTCGCGTCCACGTACAAAGGTCGCGGCTAGGAAGCCTACGAAGTCGAAGAACCTTAACGGGTCGCAACAAATTAGTAGACTAAAGCCTCCACAAGATCGCACTTACTCCGTGAAGCATCTCGAGAATGGACTTGTCAGTATGGAAACGCCTCCTGACTACCTAGTTGAAACGTGGGGATAGTATTCCTACGCTAGCAATTTCTCTGCTGACTTGCTCAGGATCCAAAAGAACGCCACAGACTCCCCTCTACTTCGACTACCTGCAGAGATCAGAAACACGATCTTCCGTTACGCAGTTGGCGGAAACAAAATACGAATTCAGCGCGCACCCGTCTTTCGAACATCGAAAAAATGGCACGAGAACTCCAACTCACTATGGCACGGCCGAGCGGATCACTTATACAATCGCCGACTCAAGGCTCAAGGCACTGCATTTCACCTCCCAGAAGTCTGCCGTCAGATCTATGCAGAGACTGCTACACTAGGTTACGCCACCAACATCTTCATACTTCCTTGTACGCAAGATCTACATCAATATTTCGATGATGATGGATCGAATGGTAGGCAACTTCTTGATACGGTATGTTTGTGATACATGTGCTGATTTCCCACGCCTGTACAGGCATACTTGCTGAATGGCTTACTCAGCGCAATGTTACCCAGCGCTCGGCGATTCGATCCATAGAGCCTAACTATCATGATCTTTGTCATTATCTTTATGGTTCATATCACGGGTCATTCGGAAAAGACTTGCCTGCGCTTGAAGAGATCTATGTTGTGAGATTCAGGTCATCTGCTCGGAGTCTCATCACCGAAAAGATTAGGGAAAAGGATGGTCAAGGTGTACGAACTATTTTCAAGGAAAAATCGCTGTAGGTAGATGCCGAACGCTCTCTGGAGGGTCTCAACAGTCTAGATATGACGCTGGGCAGTTACAAAACACCAGCAAGGGCTTGGTGCACTTGTCTGGCAGAGCCCGGAATTTCTCATGAGGTTCATCCACTGGTCGATGTAGTGACGATTTGAGTGCTGAGCTGCATGCACGAACAATTTTTGCGAACCATCTTTCCAATATTTTTTTTTTGGTAGAACAGGAGAATACAACAGCAGATTCACAAGTTCCTTGTCGGTGACGATGCGTAGCAGTGCGCGAGTGGTTTGAACACCCCGCCGCACCGCTCATGCATTAGCGTCGCCGCCAGCCCGCCTTGTTACCAACCCTTGGTGCCCATGGAGACCGTCACAATATGTCCGAATCCGCCGCTGCCCGCCAGACCATGATGTGAATGTGCGGTGAAGCAAGGGTTTCTCACATCTTCTGGGCCGCTAGTAGGCGTGAGGCCGCCGCTGGACTGATACTACTATATATAAAAGTGACGGCCATGTCCATGTTTGAAATCCATCACAGACTTCCCATCTTCCATCCTAACTAAACATCAATTGAACTCTCCACAAAACTTCCTGTTACTTTACAATGGCGCACCAGAACCGTCTCGCAAATGCCCACGTCCTTGTCTTTGGCGGCACTTCCGGGATCGGATATGCCGTTGCCAACATGGCCCTCTCAAATGGTGCATTTGTAACCATATCTGGGTCTACCCAAGCGAAGGTCGATACCAGAGTCGAAATGCTGCGATCCCTGTACCCGGACTACCCAGCCTCTAAGGTAGCAGGCTTCGCCGTTGACCTTCTCGACAAGGAGAACCTGGAATCCAATCTGAAGGCTATGCTCGATAAGGCGACCGAGGGCAGCAAGAAGAAGATCGATCATATCGCGTTCCTGGCAGGCGATTCGGTTCAACGGCCCAAGATTGCGGAAATAGATGTCAACACGCTGATGAACGGCTGGACAGTCCGCTTTGTCGCTGCTTGTGTGCTGGCCAAACTCATTGAGACTGGTGATTACATGCACAAGTCTTCCAATAGCTCCATCACAATCACAGGAGGCACAACTACGCACCGTCCAATGCCTGGCTGGACCATAACCGCAGCACTTGGTGCAACGCTTGAAGGCCTGGCTCGCGGTCTTGCGGTAGACCTTAACCCCATCCGCACGAACATCGTGAATGCCGGCGCAATCCATACGGAACTATTACAAAAACTAATAGACAGTTCTTCTCCCGAAGCTATCGAGAAGTTCAAGAGAGGAGCTAGTCTGCTGAGAGAGTTTGGAAAACCAGAAGATATCGCAGAGGCGTATGGTTGGGTCATGAAAGACAGATTCGCGAACGGGACAGTGGTAAACAGTGACGGCGGACGTATGCTGGTTGGTCCAGAGTGAGAAGTTCCGAGATTGAATTACTGCGATACAGACACGTAGCATCATGTTTCCTTCGGAGACGCCATTTATTATCAACTGTACTATAAATATTGTCCTCGTTACTGGCGCCTTTTATGAAAGATCGACTTCGATACCTCTTCTCTCAACCTCTTGTTTGACGTGATTCCATTTAGTACAATCAGCCAACATACCCTTGAATCCACGCTCTCGTAGACTCTGAAGGTCTTCTACACTTTTTTGCAAGTCATGCTCTAGCGCTATCTTGAGCTTCAAGCCTAGAAAGCTGAAGACCTCGTTCATACGTTCGAATACAAGCATAAACAAGTCAATGTCTTCTTTGAAGCTACTGTCGTCAGTCAGGCGCCACTGTATAACAAGGACAATGGCTGCCGCATAGAGCGACGATCCGATATGCGCAGAGAGCAAAATGTCGATAGATATGCGTGACGTATCTTTGACGAGTTGTGCAATATTACGCGCCGCTGTTACAGCCAGTGTAAACTTTGAAGCTGCCTCCTGTATTGGAAAAACTGTGTTACTTTGGTAATGAAGTAGAATGGCCATGGTGTCGAGAATGATATGCAGCCAAACGACATGACCGCGGTCAGCTGGGGGCGCTTCTAGGACCGAACTTGCTGGGCGCGGAAGACTTAGTCGAAATTTCACAACCATATTGTCCAGTGCAGTACAGTCTTCAGCGTATTCGAGGCTGTCCGAAGCGTTGTGTAGGGAATACAGTAGTTCGGAAACTCGACCGAGTAAGACATGTGCAACGATCACATAGTGGAAGACGTTCAGTGGTCCTTCTGCAGCCTTTACCGAGTCTATGAGACGCGATAGGTTCCTGGTAAATGGCAGGTTGTTGAAAGAGCTGACTTCCAAGTCTGGATCCATGTTCTGAAATAGCGTATCAGCGATCGGTATATCGACCTTGAACTGCATCTCCGGTATCGCGTTAGGCCATCCTGTTGGCCATGAATTCATCCGATCCATTATGAACAGCAACCAAAGTGATCTTCGGTACTCTTCTCGCTCAATTGTCGAGTGAGGTTCTGTTTTTCCAAAAACGTATGAGTTCTCATTGTCAATCCTCGCGTTCAATAGATGGTCGCTAGCATCCATGCGGTTTAGGCCGAGCACGACTGCCTGCCTCCAAACTTTTCCCAAGAAAAGCCAGCTAGCAGAGTAGTCACCGATGGTCCAAGCATGAAACACAAGAAGTAATACGGCCTGAACTGTGTGCAGAGGATGCTCCGGTCTTCGCCGGGTGAGTTCGTAAGAGAAGCGTGCTTGCTCGTACCAGTCTCTCGAGCGCTTCTGAATGGACTGTTCAGGGTGGTGTCTGGCCGCTACACAGCAGATGGCATACAGAAGAAGTGGTGCGTCTTTCTCCAAGTCGCCACGTTCTAACTTCGCCAGGAAACTCTTCCTATGGAAACAAAGAAAAGTGTGGTACAGGTGCTCGAAAAAGAGCTCGACGAGCTGGAAAATGACATTTTGTGGTGGTAGCTGGAAGCTGTCTATCGTTTGGAAGTTCAGCGTATCGTTCAACTGCTCCACAGCAGATGCCGGTGTAGGGTATGGTATACTGAGAGCTACGGATGTTGAAAGGCGAGCACCGGGAAACTGGATGAGGTCCGGTGATTTCGGCTGTATTAGATCTAAGCCAAGAGTAGAAGCTGGTGATGCTGGTGCATGATGCTCTAAACGACTTGTAGATGGTGTGTAGTTGTCTCGACTTAACTTCGGCAACGAGTACTCGCACTTGAGATTCCATCTCCTACACAAAGAGCAACTCGGGTGTTCTGCCTACAGTAAGCAACTTATCGTCAGCTCTCACCCGACATGCGACGATGATGTGGACTTACATCGCATCTCTTTTTACGCTGCCGACAGTTTTTGCAGGCCTGCTTGCGTTTACTGACAGAAGCAGGTATGGTTAGTGTCTGCATTGCGCTAAGAGATGACGTTGATGCTGAATAGATGTAGCGTGCATGTAGGTGCGTACGTGGAATAAACGGAATGGAGTGGGCGCCACGCACTAATCGTTTCCGGGCTTAAGCGGATTCGGGCGAATTTAGCTCAGACTCAAGCCCTAAATGTATGTGAGGATACAAGCTTTATGCTTGGGTGATGCAAAGCTTGGAAATCTATCTTGCAGGTTCTCGTCGGTAATTATATATAACACGTTACTTCTTGACGTGTGTACTGATCTCTAAGCCTTGTAGCTCGTGCTTCTATCTTCGTCGCCAGGAACATCTCCCAATCGCATACCCCACGACTTCGTATAGCCTGCTACTGATGCCGGCTCGACCAGGCCAAGTACTTTGATACTTTGCTTGATCTTTTCATGTCTGACCTCCCTCTGGTGCCTCCGCCAGGCGTCGCGCATATCCCGTGCTCTATTCATGAGACCACGACTTACAGTCTCTTCGTCTGGTAGTATATTGTTACATTTCTCTTCAGTCCACATTTCGCTAGCCTGCGATGCTGAACGAATTAGTCGAGACTCCGACATATTCACTAAATTGACCGGAAGCGGCGGTGGAATGTCGTAAGGGAAAGGAGAAGACGGTGGAGACGAATTGTAGAAAGATGACCTCCGCCACGGGTAATCAGACACCGCACTGGACTTCTGTCGGTGATCCTCATGGGTGGTAGCATCGTAGTCGTACGTTGCCTCAGAGTGTGATGTGGTAGCTCGAGACAGGCGCACCAAGGCAAATCCTCTCGGAAGTCGGATCAGAAGACTGCCATTTCCCTGTGAAGACGAACCCGAAGCCAGTCGTCGGGATGTTTGGGAAAGGTCTCTGCGCTCTGACAGTTCCATAGACCCAGCACGTCGTTTGCTCCCTCTCAAAACTTTTGCATGAGATGTTATGTCAGGAATGCGCTTTCGACATCGATATGTCGATCCTTCTGTAGCGCGCGGCGGTAGGTTTTCGTCAACAGATCGTCGTCTACCCTTTCGATCACTTTGACGTAGTGATGTCCAGCGGTTTGATTGCTTGTGCTTCGATCGCCAGCCGGAGCCTCTTCCCCATGCTAAGGGCGCTGGTAACAGCTCATGTGTTCTCAATCGGAAGATTGGAATGGATATGCAGCCGCAGGTAAAGAACCCTGATGAGGTTGCACTCAACGAGCTGCTTCGAGGCCGAGGAGCCCTACACTCATGGTACTGATCCGCCAGCACGTCATGATAATCTTGCGAGAAGCTCAAAAGCTGCATTCTATCACTCAGCTCCTCATCTTCGCATTCATCGTCCATAAAGGGGCTTGTGCGATATAATGGTGGGATCGTCTTTCCTTGCAACGATCGAGATGTTTCTGCAATATTGTCGACGTGCGGGGTGGAAGACCAGTATTGCCATCCAGTTCTAGTATCCCTTGGCAGCATTATTCCCAGTGATACATATGCTTTCGCTCTTCTCGATACATCCGATAATTGATATATTGTATCTGCAGAAGGATTGTCGCAGGTCTGTAGTCCTGGCTTCAAAGGGGAGTGTGAAACCGGATGTGCAGCCTCAGTATTAGTTGAAGAACACACAAGTTGATTGTCTCTGATAGGTGAAAGAAGAATTTTTGAGTCTCCCTCAAGTGAGGGCGTCTGGGCAGGCGGGGATGTTGTCAAGAGTGGTGGTGGTTCTGGTCTACATTCGAGGATTGGATGTATTGGCTGCAGTCGCGGAGATTGAAAGATTCTCGTCTCGAGTGGCCAGGATCCAGACTCTGCCCTTGAACTGCAGCTACTAGGAGAAGGCTCCGGGATCAATGGAGAGAATGTACGAGCCGTAGAGACTGGATTCTTCGGAGAGGGCTGACTAGGTGAGCTTAGGTTCCAATCAGTAGGCGCTCTCCAGGACGTGAAATGAACAGCGCTATCTTTCGGCTTCGGATTCGGTGGCACAAACAATGGTGGTAATGTCTGGTCACTTGGAGACAACGGTGAAATGTCGCTCCATGTGTTTGGATTTGGTGGTACTGTTTGTATGAAGGATTTGAAGGATCCCACGGTTCTGTCCATGCTTTTGGGCAGTGATGGTTTCGAAACGCGATGACTGACAGGGAACGATAGATGCTCTCGCCTTTCCTCGGTCGTCGCGAGCAATTACAAATTAATAAAACACAGTACTCGATCTAAAAGCCTTCTAGAAGACTTCCAAACAAAGAGGAAGGTATGGAGTATCACGCGTGTTGATTCACAGAAGCGGATTCGCTTAGGGGTGCCCTATCGCAAAACAAAGGTCAATAGCAATTCCAATTTGGAGATTGCGGGACGAACGCAGCCACGCTTTGGCCCAAGCAAGACCTGTACACGGTCGCTCTGTTGCCAGTCCGTCGTAAATATCAACATTGCTTCTCAATCGGTGAGGCACCAAGGCGTCCGGAGCGCGGAGTTGTGGTCCCCAAGCACATCTGGGCAGTTCCCTACTGGCTTCTCTTGGGCATATCTAAATTCAGCCACCGCCGAACGCTAGTTTCCAAAGGTGAGGATGCGTTGTTTAACACTAACTCGTGGTTGTAGGTGGTATACTGGCCGGTCTGACATGTTCACCGTTGTTGGCTGAAGTTGGTGGGACAAATGCACACGTCACTTTGCTCATCTCAGCAATGCCAAGCCTATGCGCCGGATCTGTGACTAGCGCTCAACCAGGGCCGAGGACTGCCCTTCGACAACCATGATCTGCACTGCTCCTTGCGTACATCGATATGCTACACATCTTAGTTTGTTTATTTTCACAACGCCATGATTGATAAGATGGACATCTGTCTTCCCAGGCAACAACATTTTTGTGATTTGATCGGGGAGACTCGAAAGTCCGCCTGTTCAGGTTGGCCTAAGTCGGGTGAATAACTCCCCGCCTCAGCACTGGGTGTGGTTCGTCATTAGGCATCGCATGTGCGCTGCACGTTTTTGCGCCATAACGCCATATCGCATTATGAGCCCGATACGAGACATTCTGGACTGTTTGCTATTGGTTCGGACGACGAGTCTACAGATTCTGGCCGTGTCGTTGGGATGACTGTAAGCCAAAGTCTTGCTGCACTGTCCACCTCTTCGCTTATCGCGAGGTAATGAAGCAAAGGGGTTAGTGCGAAGGACTGAGGCTGAAATAAGATGCCCGGTAGACAGATCCTACACTCAACGTTGTCCCGAGATGTGTGTGTGTATGAAATTTTAGCGCGCTGACTTTACGCCGACGAGGTGATTTCTTCGTCCGTCATGTCTCGCAGTCCTGATATGCCACAAGTATATCTAGACCGATAGTTGCGCCATGGAGAACAATCAGCTGAACAACCACAGCTTCAGCATTTGCATAGCAAGCCTCTTGAATTCAGCTGTGTCAGCCTCGTATCCACCTCACATACTTGAACTCGCCTATTCCGCAATTTGTTCAGTAACCACCATATCATGGCCAGCCCTTCTTCGCAGTCCATTGGGGACGGGCTAAAGCCCGAGATACCTCAATCCGAGCCTTTGAGCGATTCAGCGTCTGGAGAATCGAGGGCGCCGGAGCCTGAGAAGTTTCAGCCTGGATGGCGTTTCCTGGCCGCTTTTGGTAGTCTCTGTATCATCACACTCATGGCCGCATTGGATGCAACTTCGATCTCAGTTGCGCTGCCAGTAAGTTGGTCAGACCAACTGTTCTTCACCGTGCTAAAGTTCTTAGATTATGGCTAAAGCATTGGGCGGGTCTGCTATCGAAGCCTTCTGGAGCGGAACTTCTTTCCTGTTGACATCGACTGTCTTTCAGCCTGTCCTCGGATCGTTCTCGCACATCTTTGGGCGCAAAGCACTTATTTATGTCAGTCTGGGCTTCTTCCTAGCTGGTTCGATCATCCCCGCCGTGGCCAATAACTTTACCGTCATCCTGGTTGGTCGATCGATTCAAGGAATTGGTGGTGGTGGCATTATCTGCTTGACCGAAATGGTCGTAGTTGACACCGTACCACTTCGAGAGCGAGGAAAGTGGTTCAGCTTCTTCGGAGCTATGTGGTCGATCGGCACAGTGGCAGGCCCTCTACTAGGTGAGTCACACATGCTATATCTCAAAATCTGTTCTAACATTACACAGGAGGTGGGTTTTCCCAAAACGTGTCTTGGCGCTGGATCTTCTGGATCAACCTGCCATTCCTCGGTCTCGGTGCTGCCTTGATTACTGTCTTCCTCAAGCTCAACCAGAAGCATGGCTCCTTCCTTGTCAAGCTTCGAGAAGTTGACTGGATTGGCATGGTGCTGTTTCTCGCCTCCACGACCGGCTTCTTAATTCCTGTCACCTGGGGTGGAGTACAGTATCCCTGGGACTCATGGCGTACGCTTGTACCACTCATCGTTTGCGCCGCGGGTATGGTCGCATTCGTTGTGTATATCGAGTTCTTTGCTGTCAATCCCCTCATCCGCACTTCGGTGTTCAAGAACATGTCAGCCGCCATACTTTACGTCTCTACCGTTATTCATGGAATCATACTGTGGGCTATCCTCTACTACATGCCACTCTACTTCGAAGCAGTTAGAGGTTTTGGTCCGATACTTGCTGGAGTTGCAATGTTCCCTTGGACCTTCACCGTGGCCCCAGCGTCAGTCGCAACTGGTATCGCAATTGCGGTCACGGGACATTACCGATGGGCAAACCGCGCCGGATGGTTTCTCGCTACACTCGGTATGGGTCTCCTTATTATTCTCAAGCCGAACACGTCGACAGTCTCTTGGATCTTCCTAAACCTCGTTGGTGGTGTGGGGACGGGTATTCTGTTCCCTGCCATGGCTTTGGCTGTACAGGCTTCAGCAACTGCCAAAGACCAAGCCTATGCTGCGAACATGTTCTCCTTCTTCCGCGCTTTTGGACAAACGCTTGGCGTTGCCATTGGCGGTGTCATCTTCCAGAACCAGATGAAAAAGAAGATGCTCACGTACCCTCTTCTTGCTGACCTGGCAGTCGAGTACTCTCGAGACGCAGCAGGCCTGGTCCAAATCATCAAGGAAATGCCTGGCGGCGACATGAAGGAGCAGCTCAGGGAAAGTTACACGGATGCCCTAAAATACATCTGGATTGTCATGTTGGTGTTCAGTGCGGTGGCCTTCCTTGGCAGTTGGTTCATCAAAGCCTACGACATGAATGGTGCTATGGACACTGAGAGGGGATTTGTAGACAAGGACAAAGTTGGGGATGTCGAGAAGGAGCAGTCGATGATGTAAGAAGGCCGAGTGCCGACATGGAGCAGTTCTTGTTTTTATAAGCATCAGCGCGGCGTTTGGATTGTTCTAATAGACGGACACATGACGACAATATCTCTCAGTACAATAATGTATAGTTTATCTTGCTACAAAGGTTGTCATTGCCTCGCATCGAAACGCGTTCCATGGTCTAGGTCCAAGAAGGCTTTGGGTGTATTTTTGGTACGGACGGGTCGGACTTTGCTCGACCGGGTCAAGCATAACGGTTGGGTCTCAGGAGCGGCCGGGATATG